AAGGAGATGGATCAGAGTGGATTTGATTGAAGTGTTTAAGATTATTAAGGGTATTGATAATATAGATTCATCAAAAGTTTTTTTTTATGTTCAGCAGTGGAAACAAAAGGACAAGGTGTCATAATTCAAATTTTAGCATAGAAGTCGTCTGCAGTTTAGACAGTATTACTTTTCAAACAGGGTTGTTGGTTTTTGGAATGAGCTGCCTTCAAGGGTGGTGGAGGCAGAACATTTAACTGGGTTCAAGAAAAGATTGTATGAATACATGAGTAGTAAGGGGTGGTTATAGTTGGGAGCTGGAAGGGACATCCTTGATGGGATAATAAGCTCCTTCTTGTCCCTTTAACATTTTAATAATTTATTAAAGTTCAGCTTGTTTCTCCCCTCCCCCTTCAAAATAAGTTTTATGGTTTTGATGTACATTTTGTAAAACAAATGTGGGCCTATACTAAATTCTTAATTTTAGTATAGTTAAACAAGTAGCTTGATATAAACTCGCACACTTACTAGTATTAAACCTTTAGGCTTTTTGATGTGTATTTCTTTTATGAGACTTCTTGAAATATATTTCATTTAAATTACCATTTGTGTGTGTGTATGTGTATCGGATAAATTTCTTAAAAGGTTACATTTGAATTTCTTATTTTAAACATGAATGTTATTTTGCAGACATTGTTCAAGTAGCTAGATTGTTTTATGATCTTTTTTTTAATTTTTATAGAACAAGCAAAGAACTTCTTCTGACACCTGTAGTTATAAGTCGAAATGAAAAGGAAAAGGTTTTGATTGAAGGATCAGTGAACTCTCTTAGAATCAGTATTGCTGTGAAACAGGCCGATGAAATAGAACGGATCCTTTGTCACAAATTTATGAGGTTTATGATGATGAGAGCAGAAAATTTTGTTATTTTAAGAAGAAAACCAGTAGAGGTTAGTGTCATGTTTTAAAATAACAGTTTATCAGAATTTTGAAATAAGAAAAAACTAAGATTTTTTTACCCTTATTATTACTATATTCCAATTATATCTATAAGTAAAATTTTAATCCAAGTAGAATTGATTTGTCTCTAGTCTCATACAGCTGTTACAGTTAGCTGATAAAAAGCCAGACTTGAAAGAGTTTAACATTCATAATGCAGTCTAGATGTTCAGAAATGTTTATTGATAGCAGTAGTTTTGATAGTTATTGCTTAGATGTGATGCTTTGTTGTGAGGGCTGTTAAACAGTGATTGATAGCTTGAGGTTTGTATCATTCAGTTTAACAGATGTGAGGGCTGTTAAACAGTGACTGATAACTTGAGGTAGGTACCATTCATTTTAACAGATGTGAGGGCTGTTAAACAGTGACTGATAGCTTGAGGCTTGTATTATTCAGTTTAACAGATGTGAGGGCTGTTAAACAGTGACTGATAGCTTGAGGTTTGTATCATTCAGTTTAACAGATGTGAGGGCTGTTAAACAGTGACTGATAGCTTGAGGTAGGTATCATTCAGTTTAACAGATGTGAGGGCTGTTAAACAGTGACTGATAGCTTGAGGTAGGTATCATTCAGTTTAACAGATGTGAGGGCTGTTAAACAGTGACTGATAGCTTGATGTTTGCACTGATCTTGGTAGCTTGATATTAAAAAGTCCTTTTCGCTGTTAAGAGTATACATGTGAAAGGGAAGTGTATTTTGTGTGTCACTATTTGTGTACAACTGATGATTAAAATATACAGACAGTTTGTGTACAACTGATGATTAAAATATACAGACAGTTTGTGTACAACTGATGATTAAAATATACAGACAGTTTGTGTACAACTGATGATTAAAATATACAGACAGTTTGTGTACAACTGATGATTAAAATATACAGACAGTTTGTGTACAACTCATGATTAAAATATACAGACAGTTTGTGTACAACTCATGATTAAAATATACTGACAGTTTGTGTACAACTCATGATTCAAATATACAGACATTGATAAAAGGTTTCTGTGAGTTTGGTTTAATTATGTTTTTTAATATTTGTCAAAAGACTAACATGAAATATTCAACTTTTAATTTTGTACATTGCAGGATTTTTCTTTCACATAGATTGGATATACACTTTGTTGGTTTTGTGTTTATTACAATAACTGTTTCTGTATTAATATATCGTAAGAAGAAGCTTTTTGTGTGTGTGGTTTCAATCTGTGGTTTTTTTCTGTGCAGGGTTATGACATCTCCTTCTTGATTACCAACTTCCACACAGAACAGATGTATAAACACAAATTAGTGGATTTTGTCATTCATTTTATGGAGGAAATTGACAAGGAAATCAGTGAAATGAAACTGACATTAAATGCCAGAGCTCGAATTTGTGCTGAAGAATTTCTTAAACGGGTATGATGTACACACATGTTAAGTACTGACCTAGAAAAAGTTATCACACTGTTAAAACATAACAACGTAGTACTTTTAAAAATGCAAGTTGGTATGGTATAAACACTTTGTTTAATGGAAAGAATATCCTCCTGTGAAGTACACGTTGATGGTTTTTTTCTAATATTACAGATTAAAATCAACATAAAAATAATATTAATAGCACAAAGTTGAGTTTAACAAATATTTATCAATGTTAATATCTTACAACAACTGTTGAAAAAAAAAGGACCTTGTCACTGAAAACAAATTGATTATAGTATATATTGAAATGATGAAATCATTAATAATTACTTGATTAGTCAATCAATGTTTCTGAATCTATTATTTATACTATACCACACATATATTGGTTACCGGCTTAGAAAAGTTATTACAGTGTTACAGCAAGACAATTACCTTTCAGTTTTGATTAAAGTCCACTTCAACAGGATGAGAAAGCAGTTCAACATACTTGAATAAAAATATTAAGATGTAATTTGTTATGATATTTGATGTTAAGTGGTCCAAACTATGTAGAGCATTTGGTTTAATTCTATTAAAATAATGACATTTGTTATAATTCTCTCTTGTTAAATAAATTTTTGTATTTATCCTTCTTCATTGCATCCTAAACTGTTGTACTTTTTTATCAGCTAAATAGCAAGAGAATAATCTGGTGATAGGAATTAAAAATTGGCACAATTATACCCCGAGGGTATCCTGTAAATTCATATATGGTATGCCCTGGGGTATGTCTTAATTTTACAGGGTATGTGGGAACTAATAATCACCAAATCCATGGCACCTAGGAGTAAATTCTCAATAATCAGGAATAAAATAAGTAATAAAAGTGGACAGAAAACTACTAATGTCTTGGACATAGTTTAATGAGTAGTGGAATTAACTGTTCTTATTACCAGGTAGCTGATGAGACAGTTGTCAGGTGCTAAGAATCTACCAATAAACTGTCATGATTCTGTTAATATTCAGTGTTGTTACTGAACCAAAGAAAAAAGTTTGATAGGATTTTATTGGAAACAACTTCAGCACTGATTGGACTACGATTTATCAAAAAGGCAAGTTCTGTACTGTAGCAATGCATTTAATTACATCTTTCCAAGTCCTTGAAAGAATTTGGAAGTATAATCTTAATCCTTTTTTTTTAGTGGATGTGCATCACAATAAATGAAACATTCTGTGAAACTTCAACAATAAACTTTTTATATATCTCGCTAATATACATATAAAACTATAATTACAAGTCAAAGAATTTCCAATTGTCTTAATATACAACCCATAAGTACTATTGAATGTTAGCATCAGAGAGTTTATATATGTTTATCATATTGTAACGAAATCTATTGTTGGATGGGATCTTTTGGATTATCTGGTAACAATAATAACACATGTAACCATAACAAATTAATTTTCACATAAACACATTTTTCACATTTTAACATAAACTCTGAAACTACTGTAGGCCTAATATACTAATAATGTTTAACAAATATTTACTAAATTAATAGCAAATCTGACTAATTGGGTGCAATCTTTCACACATTGATTACTTTACTCAATAACTTCTTGTGAAACACTTCTACTGAACTAACTAGTATTCATAACTAATGGATCCATATCTAGATGTTAGAGGAAGTTTCTCATCCAAATTCAAACATTGAAGGTTAACATTTTCCTAAATTGAAAATGATTTCCAATAATACTTAACTCCACTGACAGCTATTGCTTGACCTCCAGGGTTTCTTCTTTGTCCATCTAAGCATTGGTCTGATTTTTTCTCGCTTTCTCCAGTCTTTTATACCCCACTCAGTTGCCCTTGGCTATTTAGGAAAACGTTATCTTCCAAAACATACTTATAGCTAGAACCCCACATTGAGAAGGTGTAGGGGCCAGTTAGTGAATTATCCATACAGAAAGTGTCTGCATAGATCATGGGTGTACCAAGATAAGATTGGTACCCAAGTGGGGGAACTGCATTACATCCAGAACAGGTATGCTCTTCACCCTGAACTTAATTCCTGTATCAAGGGTGGAATTGTACATGAGTAATCATCACTATAGGCCAGCCCCAACCAGATAGCCGAGATTTCACCACTCGGGGATGGAATTAAGGGGTCTTGGTCCATATATACCACATTGGTCGCTATGACAGTTGGACTGCAACACTACATATACATCTATACTATTGATTGAATCCAAACCTGTAGCCATAGAGTGATGCATTCCAAACCACAGGAATCATGACGAGAAAGTAATGAACACAAAAGCAGGCAAACTTTCTTGTCCACCTGAAGAAGCCCAAAAGGCAACTCCCAAACTCGGAATGACAGGATCATGTATGCCTTACTCATCCTGAACTTAGTGGGCAAGGAGCATTCCACTTGCCTTTGGAATTATGGTAAGTACATGGAACAACTGTGCTCAACCAAGGACCCAGGATGGGACCACTGCATTTGGAATTATGAGGAAATAGTGGACCCCTTTCCATGAAGAATGTACTGAACTAATATTGATCAAAAGAAGAACCATTCACATTTCAACTGGGTAGCCGATCATCAAATCTGAACCGGTATTATGAGTAGGCTTCTGTGTAGGCTGCTACTGTTCCTACAGACATCTAGGGGAAAATATCCAGGGACCTGGGTAAGAAGGCCCCAACTTCGCCCTATTCTCCAAAAGTGGAGGAATTCACTCTAACACTCTGGAGGAAAAGCCTCTGTCCACCACCCCAGTGACTGGAAACTGGGTGTGGTAAGGACTCCCTAGCTCCACTAGTAGAATCAAGGGAGTAATGCACTTTGGGGAGTCCTGAGAAACAATGAAATGGGTGAACCAAGTTCCCTAAATTTTGAAAAGTAAACCAACCCTGATTTATTGAATCTGATGATCAGCAAGGACCCTGGAGGTCGAGTAATAGCTATAAGTGTCAGCAGAAGTAAGTATTGTTGGAAATAAAGCTAACTGTACTACAGATCCATTTTAAAATTCGAGCCTCAGCTATTATTTTAACAGATTTATGTGATTATGATTAAAAAAATTATTTCATATTGTTACGTCTCTGGTCGTTAGTTAATTTCCCGTATAATTTCTTTCCGATGAAACTTTAGCAACACAAGTCCTTTCTTAAATAAAACTAGTTTATTCTTTCTGAATACAACTTTGCAGTACACTTAATTTCCACAGTCACTCTATAATTCACAACGAACGACTCACGCGCTTGACTCAACTGTCCGTATATGTCTCTGTCTGCAATTCAATTACATTGTTGCCGTCACTTCTTGGCGGTCTTATATATATATACAAGAATACCGCAAATCTAGTAAATACTCGAGGATTCACGAACCTTCGAGAATATGTTACTAGCATCATGTGACCCCCGCTGTCGTAACAATATGATCTACATGCTAAGAGCTCTGATAACTTACTAAGTTTAAAACAGCAATTCAAATTTTAGACATCTGTAAGTTTGGGAATTCACAAGAATAGTTTGGATGAACATTTACACTTGATGTTCAAAATGTCTCCAAAACCAACACCTGTGGAAAATACTATTCACTAAATTAACAGAAACACATCACTGCCATGGTGATACTTCTGCTTTGAATGGCATAGACATGGTTTGGCTCAGTATAGTATAAGCGTAAGTAAAATTAAAACATTTTGCACAACTGGAGTCAAATGTATGATTTGAAATAAATGTTCTAAACTAATCTTCAAAGAAATTTCGAAACCAACGTATTCTAATTTTTACGAGTACGACTCTAGTCCACATTCTTCCGAGCATTTTATGTCTACTTGAATGTAACACAAATAATCCTGTCGTAACATTCCGTGCTCTTTGATTGTTTCGTTAATGGCTGAACTCTTTGTTATCAAATTTCTCCTGATATACAGTTCTTATTGGACCATACAACGAGAAATTTTAAAACGAAGACCGGTGTTGTCAAAGGAAAAATTACGTATGTACTCACATTTGTATGTCACGCTACACTTCTCAACAATACAAAATATATAATAAAAGTTCGTAAATTATGATATTTGGTAATTTAATAATGCCTAAAATACATAATAAAGATAAATGTGTTTACAATTATTTACTGTCATTTTTAGTTTCACAATAATGAAGACTTAATTTGACTTTGACCTATATAACTTGACACGTTCTGTACGTTACAATGCTACGACTAAACCCGACTTTTAAGACGTCCCCAGTGAATGAGCGGGCTTATAACACTAAAATCGGGTTTCGATACCCATGGTGGGTAGAGCACAGATAGCCAAACTCTTACTCGCTAAGAATAACTGATTAGAGGCGATAACTCTCCCTACTAACACTAAACTGAATCTCATGTTGATTATTCAACTCATTCATGTTTCAGTAACTAAGTGCTTCATCTTGTCTCGTATTTATGTTTACCCTTGTTTCTAAACCCTACGCGACTAGATTCTACAGAGGCTTTAACTTTCATGAAATTTTCTAGATATATTGCATCATCATGACTAGCTCTCTATAGCACCCATCTAACATCGAAAATATAGCTTACTACAGTATTTTATACTGTAATTTATACTCGTTACCAGGTTTCATCACTTAAGTACAAATTTGTTGCTTCTTGAAGAAATTTATAATTGCAAAATTTTGCAGTCTTAAGATTATGGGGTACATACAAAATATTTTTAAAATAGAACTAATTATATAAGTTATTAATTCAGGGGACAGTTCTTTCACATAGTGGTATCGATATCTAAGACTATTATTATTTCCTAATTTTCGATCTGCAATGTGTTGAAACGTTTATGATTTAACGTCCACACGTCTAATATCTCTGTTACAAACAAACAAGTTTAAGTTACTGTAAAATTTAATTCTAACATAATACATTCGTTAGCGGGCGGGCAACGCGAATCCTCGCTCTTCTAATTTTACGATTCAGAATGTTGGGGCTTGATTATTCTCCAATCAGTTTTATCAAGAAATAATCGCTTAAATCTTGGGGGTGGGGGCACAGTGGATTAGCTGTAAGTCTGAAAACTTATAACGCTAAAAACCAGATTTTGATACCGGGGAAGATGCAGCATAGATAGCCCATTCTGTAGTTTTGCGAACAAACGAATCTGTGGCTAACTTACACTTGTCTATTACATTACAGAAAAAAGAAACTTACGTGCATCAAAAACAGTAATGATATTTAAAATATTTTGGTTTTTATCTTAGGTCACAATTATACTTTTCTAATATTACTTTATTGTTTGCATAATTATAAGGAAAATTTCTGTTATGTACTTCAAATATATTTTCTTTCCATAGACTGTATTTTCTATTTGTTCAGATTCTAAATTGTAATTGTTATTTGTATACCACGTGCTGATTGCATGTTACCCCACTTGAATTTGTAAAGTTTAATATATAATTGATATATATTTCCACACACAAAAAAAAAATATTTTGACTAAGTAATTTTCTACTTGTGTCAAATGTCATACTGTAAAGATTTTGGTAAGTTCAAGTGAGAAAGAACAATTCTTTCTTCGCATTTTTCGAAACACCAACTTATTCATAATTTCATTATTTAAAAAAAATTTCTTAACTAATAGTAATATTAACATTACTCACTAGTAGTAATACTAATACTATAATAGTAATGGTACTACTATTAATAACAATATAGTAATACTAATAATGTTAATTATTTGTAGTATATTAACAATTCTATCATTCTTTATTATCCAGTTTCTCACATGTGTTTAGTATTACTTAGTACTCTGTATTGATATTATTGTATGTAGGCTAATAAACATTAATGATGCTAGTAAAAGTGAAAATACTGTACTTAAAGTTAAGATCATGAAGAGGCTAATCTGGGTAAAATGTAAAACATGGAAAAATACAAAACAACTTTGTAGCATGTTACTTTTGTATACATGTTTGAGTATGTGAAGTGCCTAATCTGGGTAAAATGTAAAACATGAAAAAATACAAAAAAACTTTGTAGCGTGTTACAATTGTATACATGTTTGAGTATATGAAGTGCCTAATCTGGGTAAAATGTAAAACATGGGCAAGTACAAAATAACTTTGTAGCGAGTTACAACTGTATACATGTTTGAGTATGTGAAGTGCCTAATCTGGGTAAAATGTAAAACATGGGAAAATACAAAACAACTTTGTAGCATGTTACATTTGGATACATGTTTGAGTATGTGAAGTGCCTAATCTGGGTAAAACGTAAAACATGGGAAAGTACAAAACAACTTTGTAGCATGTTACAATTCTATACATGTTTTTGAACATGATCATTTAGCATTTTGTGATTGTTGGTATTTGTTAGTTAAATAAAAAATTTTACAGCTCTTTGAATAACCATTTATCAAATAGTTATGATTAGTTTCAGCTTTAAAAATGGATTATTAATAAAAACAACTGCTGTACTAAAAACAATTTAGATTTATTATTAAAATAACAACCAAACTGATAGATGGAATCATACCCCAGGTTTTTATCTTGTACCTTGCTAAATAATCTAATGTACTGTATCTTATTTCTTCTAAACACCTGTTTGACCTTGGCTTTTGCTAAGGTATCTAACAGACTGCAAGGATTGTATTCCTTTTAGACACCTGTTGTATGACTTTGGATCTTATTAACATATGTAATGGAATGTGAGGGTTCCTTACATACACCCATGGTTTGATCTTGTGTCTTGCTAACTACTTGTAAGTAAAACTTAAAAGTTTATCCACAAGATATTGAGTAAGAATGTAGATTTGATTAAAGTAGTTTCTTCATGTAAGTTAAGTATTTTAGTTTAAAACATTATTTTCAAGATATTGATTAAGAATGTAGATTTTGTTTATGTATTAGGTTGTCAAGAAATTAATGTCGTGTTTTGGAACACTTTCAATGACCACCCCACAAAAAACGTACATCTTGTATAGTAGTTAAATGAACTGTCTAAACGTCACGATAATGTAGCCTATGTAATGTGTAAAGTTTAGTATACTCTAATCCCTTATAGTGATGGTACACGATGAGACACACATTCGGCATGTAATGTTGTTTGAATACAAGAAGGGAAACAACGCCTCTGTAGCAACAAAGAATATCAAAGAAGTTTATGGAAATGTTTTGAACGTTTGTAAGCGTCAGCGATGGTTCAGCAAATTTCATTCAAATGATGTTGCTTTGTCTCTTCTGGTGAGTAATGTGCGTGAACCATTTTTGGACAGAATTGTCATCGATGATGAAAAATGGATTCTCTATGTGCATATTAAATGCCACAAACAAT